GGCTTTTTCCTTCAGATTTTGGTTTTGGTACTTGTTCTTGTGTTTTTTCACAAGGGATATGTAAGGAGTACGGTTTTTCCGCCTGTCGCCGTTGGTCTTGTCCCGCCGCCGCCATGCCAGCCCCAAACAACACACAGAGACTCTATATTTGATATATTTTTGTTGGCCAGGTTCTTGTTTCTTATCGGCTAGCTCTGTCTTAATTATTAACCCATTTCTAGATTTTGTGTGTCTGTATGGAATGTCACAGAAAGGAGGTAGCACACTATAGTCACACATGTCAGAATATGCTCTACTCTGCAATTGTAGTCTTCTGGAAGAAAAGAATATGTTGACTTAGGACAAACAAAAGATAAAACCACGCTTTGGATTGGAAATAGATGCTTCCAGACAGTTATGTTTAATATCACCCTTTTTACTGTGATACTAGAAAAATACTGTGAAGAGAACAACCTGCTTTTAAAGTAAGCACATAGATTTTCATTCCTTTACCCATCATCTTGCCTCAATTACTAAACTGTTGTTTATAATTTACCTACTCTCTGGAAATCCTGTGATAACAGAAAGTGGATATAGAAAATACATCTAGCCATTCTTTCATCTAAACTATGTATATCTGTATATAAAATTAGCTTATGGCAACATTCACTCCTTGACTTCTAATTGGTTATGTCACGGTAAAGCTATGGTGACTTAAAAATACCATAGTTGGAAAGTACATTTAATACACCTAACCTGACAAGCACTGTGGTTCAGCAGCATAGTGTGCTAGAATGTCGTTCATCATGACTGACTGGAAGCTGTACATACTGCTGCAATTCTGTTTTGAGACCTGCCATATCCTGATTGTCCAGGAATAGCTGAGATTCCAAATCAAATGTGATTCCTCCTGAATGTGAATTACCCAGTCTGCAGTCACATATTATAAACCAGGAAGCATTTGTGCATAGTTTAGTCTTTTCAAAATATTTTTGTTATTTAATGTGTATGAATGTTTTGCCTATATGTGTGTCTGTGCACCACATGTATGCCCATGGAGGCCAGAAGAAGGCATTGGATCCTCTGTAACTGGGGTTACAGATAATTTTAAGTGCTATGTGGTGTTAGAAATCAAACCCAAGTCTGCTGCAAAAGAGTACTCACTGTTCTTAACTGCTGGGGAGGCAAAAACAGGCAGCCCTGCAGCTTCCTGTTAGCTAGGCTAGCCCTAATCAGTTATCTCAGGCCAATGAGAAACTCTGCCTCAAAAGACAAAGCAGACAGTGCAAATCCATCAATGTAATCCACCATATAAACAAACTGAAAGAAAAAACCCACATGATCATCTCATTAAATGCTGAAAAGGCCTTTGACAAAATCCAACATCCCTTCATGATAAGGGTCTTGGAGAGATCAGGAATACAAGGAACATTCTTAAACATAATAAAGGCAATGTACAGCAAGCCAATAGCCAACATCAATCTAAATGGAGAGAAACTCAAAATGATCCCCCTGAAATCAGGAACAAGGCATCACTATCCACACTCTCCGTATCTATTCATTATAGACTCAAAGTCCTAACTAGAGCAATAAGACAACAAAAGGAGATCAAGAGGATACATATTGGAAAGGAAGAAGTTAAACTTGATTAATGTAGCAGGATACAAGATTAACTTTAAAAAAAAATCAGCCTTCCTGTATTCAGATGATAAGGGCTGAGAAAGAAATCAGAGAAACATCACCCTTGACAGTAGCCACAAACAACATAAAATGTCTTGGGGTAACTCTAACCAAACAAGTGAAAGACCTGTATGACAAGAACTTTAAGTCTTTGAAAAAAGAATTGATGAAGATAACAGGAAATGGAAAGATCTCCCATACTCTTGGATAGATAGGATCAACATAGTAAAAATGACAATTGTACCAAAAGCAATCTACAGATTCAATGCATTACCCATCAAAATCCCAGGACAATTCTTCATAGACTTTGAAAGAACAATGTTCAAATTCATACGGGGGAAAAAAAAAAAAAAAAAACCTGTACCATAAAGGAACATCTGGAGGCATCACCATCCCTGACTTCAAATTCTACTATAGAGCTACAGTGATCAAAACAGCTTGGTATTGCCTTAAAAACAGACAGGTGGATCAATGGAATCAGATTGAAGACCCTGATACTAATCTACATACCTGAAAACACCTGATTTTTGATGAAGAAGCTAAAACTGTACAATGTAAAAAGAAAGTATATTCAACAAATGGTGCTGGCATAACTGGATGTTGATATGTAGAAGAATGCAAGTAGATCTGTATCTATTCCCATGCACAAAACTCAAGTCCAAATGAATCAAACACCTCAAAATAAATCCTGACCATCATAGAAGAGAAAGTGGGAAGTAGCCTTGAATGCATGGGCACAGAAGAATACTTCCTAAATATAACACCAGTAGCACAGGCACTGAGAGCAACAATTAGTAAATGGGACCTCCTGAAACTGACAAGCTTCTGTAAGGCAAAGGACACAGCAAGACAAAACAACAGGCTACAGACTCAGAAAATATCTTCACCAACCCCACATCTGACAGAAGTCTGATTTCCTGAATATACAAAGATCTCATGAAACTAGGCATCAGTATTCTAAGTAATCCAATTAAAAAACGGGGTACAGATCTAAACAGTGAATTATCAACAGAGGAATCTCAAATGGCAGAAAGACACTCAAAAGAATTGCTCAACATCCTTAGTCATCAGGGAAATACAAATCAAAACAATTCTGAGATACCATCTTACACTTGCCAGAATGGCTAAATAAAAAACAGGGATGACAGCTTATGCTGGAGAGAATGTGGAGTAAAGGGAACACTTCTCCATTGCTGGTGGGAGTGCAAACTGTACAGCCACTTTGGAAATCAGTATGGCAGGCCCGGGAGTTGGCTCAGCGGTTAAGAGCACTGGCTGTTCTTCCAGAGGACCCAGGTTCAATCCCCAGCACCCGCATGACAGCTCACAACAGTCTGTAACTCCAGTTCCAGGGAATCTCACACCCTCATACACACATGCAGGCAAAAACACTAATGCACATGAAGTAAGAATAAATATTTTTTTTTTAAAAAAAGGAAATCAGTATGCAATATGGCAGCTTCTCAGAAAATTGGAAATCAATATACCTTGAGACCCTGCAATACCACTCTTGGGCAGATACCCAAAGAATGCACACTCACAAGGATGTTTGCTCCTATTATTTGTAATAGCCAGAACCTGGAAACAATTTAGATGGCCCTTCAACTGAAGAATAGATAAGGGAAATGTGGTACATTGACACAATGAAATACTATTCAGCAGTCAAAAACAATGACATCTTGAAATTTTCAGGCAAATGGATGGAACTAGGAAAAAAAAAACATTCTAAGTGAGGTGACCCAGACCCAGACCCCCCAGAGAAGCTAGGTAACAAGAAGGACCATAAGAGAGACATACATTGATCTCCTTGGGAAGAGGAAATAGACAAGATCTCCTGAGTACATTGGGAGCATGGGGGGAGGGGGAGGAGAACATGGGGGGACAAGATGGTTGAGTAGGGGAAGGACAGGGAGGGAGAGCAAGGAAAGAGATATCTTGACATAGGGAGCCATTATGGGGTTATCAAAAAACTTGGCACTAGGGAAATTCCCAGGAATGCATAAGAATGACCCCAGCTAAGACTTTAAAGCAATAGTGGAGAGGGTACCTGAACTGGCCTTTCCCTATAATCAGATTGATTACCCTAATTATCATCATAGAGCCTTCATCCAGTAACTGGTGGAAGCAGAAGCAGAAATCACAGCTGAGCACTGGGCCGAGCTCCTGAAATCCAGTTGTAGAGAGGGAGAAGTGATAATATGAGCAAAGGGGTCCTTTGGGGATACCCACAGGAACAGCTGACCCAAGCTAGGGGGAGCTCACTGACTCTGGACTGACAGCTGGGGAACCTGCATAGGACTGAACTAGGCCCTCTAATGTGGGTGATAGTTGTGTGGCTTGGGTAGTTTATTAGGGCCACTGGCAGTGGGATCAGGATTTATCCCTAGTGCATGAACTGGGTTTTTGGAGCCCATTCCCTATGGAGGGATACCTTGCTCAGTGTAGACTCAGAGGGGAGGGCCTTGATCCTGCCTTAATGTGATGTGACAGACTTCATGGACTCCCCATGGGAGGCCTCACTCTCTGTGGAGTGGATGGGGGTGGGGTGGGGGAGGGGGACTGGGATTGGTGTGTAAAATAAAATGATTATTTTAAGAAATTATATTCAAATAAACTTTTTACTGCAAGGGTGGGGGGAAATAGGCCACGCCAGGATTGGGGGAAGCAGAAGTAAAGGAAAAATCAACAAGAAGGGAAGAAAAGAATTTGGCACTTGGCTATAGGTACAGGTTGGTGACTTGTTTTGCTGCATTAGTTTTAACATTTTTATCTTGTCAGAAACCACTGCCAGCTTTACCTTATTCAAACACATTATCTCAATACTACCCTACTTCTAGCTGCCTGCAGCTTGACAGATAAAAATCAGAAATTTGTTAGCCCTGCAGCCTCAGAAGTCTGGGTTTCCAGTTACTTGAGTGACTCCCATCTGTTCACACAATTATATTGACATGCCTTCTTGTAAGCCCTTATTTTCCTGGAATGTAGTTACTGTATGTCACATAGCTTACCAAAGTATCACCTTTCTAGGAAACCCTGCTCTAGTCCCATCATCTTGGAAAAGTATTCCACAGTTCCCTGGCTAGAGATTGTTCTGCCCTTCACCTTGTGTTGGCATACCATTTAAATGTTCCTGGGAGGGATGTGCTGTATTCTGATGCAGGATTGTAACCACTCTCCATCCTCTCCTTTGGGAATGTGTTCAGATTCCCCTGAGGAAGCAGGCTATGGGCAGCCACTCAGCTTCTGAACGTCTTTTCCCAAGGGTAACATGGAGATCTGTCCTTCTAAGTTTCTACTTCTGTCCTACTTCCTCAACAGCCTATTGTCCTTTTGTTCCACAGAGCTTCGGTGCAACCCTGGGCAGTTTACATGTCACAGTGGTACCATCCAGTGCATCCCCCTCCCCTGGCAGTGTGACGGCTGGCCAACGTGCGAGGATAAAAGTGATGAAGCTGACTGTCCAGGTGAGTGTGCAGGTTGACCTATGTCTGCCATGGCCTCCCTCAGGGAGGGAGTGTAATGAGGCAATCCGTGTGCTTTATATACATTGGAGTCCACTTTTGCGTGGACTTAAGGTTTTCTAAAATTGTCCACACTAGATTGTTTCATTGCCCCCACCCTCCAAAGCACGTCTAAAAAAGAGCTAAAGATCGCAAGCAGCAGTCCTTTCAGTAATTGGGAGGTGGGGATTTCAGTTTTGTCTGTTAGAGACAAATTCTCACCATCTAGCCCAAGCTGGCCTAGAACTCGAGATTGCATCCAGTCCATTCGGTCTCCCATGTGCTGGTGTTATGGATAGATACCTGCCACAACTTGAGCAGAAATGGGTGGCATGCTTGGTGCAGTGTGTCCTGTATGAGCTTTCCTTGTTTCAGAAGGTGGAAGGCTGGAGCCGTAGTACTCAGAATGCCCTGCCAGCAGCCTTCAGTGTATCCTTTGGCTCGTGTGAGAACATCAGCTTTTACCAGGACAGTTTTTGTATGGCTGCCAGCTATCTTAAGGGCTACAGAGTCAGGGGTGGCTACAGAGGTGAAAAAGAAGGTAGAGGCGTCTATTTGACTCCTTCTCTACTTAGCTGTGGGAGTTCAATTCTCTGTAGTAACAATACTGTGTTCCTCCAGAAGGTTTTGTTGGCATGTGACATCATTTCTAAGATATGGAGGAGGACTCTTCTCTTCTTAGATCACTCTGAAGAAGGCATAAACAACAGTGCCTACAGGAAGCAAGACTTACTTCACAGTTGCTTTAGGGAGACACCAAATGGCCTGCAAGACAGAATCTACTGGATACAGACTTATCTGAGATATATGATACATGGCAGAGGCAAAATTGTATAACATAGGGCTGTGTCTGTAGGAAGAAAATGAAATTGGATCCCTAACTCATAACACACAGAAAATGAAGGTTTAAGGTAAAAGAAAAAAAAAAAAAAAATTAAAGAGTCTGAGTGAATATCAACTTAGATAAAATCTCTTTTAAAAAACAGCTGTTTTAGCCTGGTGGTGGTGGCACATGCCTTTTACTCTCAGCACTCATGAGGAAGAGACAAGTGGATCTCTGAGTTCAAGGCCAGACTGATCTACAGAGTGAGTTCTATGACAGTCAGAGCTACACAGAGGGGAAAAAAAAAACCCAAGAGCAAAAACAGCTGGCTTTGCTTGATTAAAAATAAGATCTTCCCTTTATCAAAAGACACTAGTAAGAAATGACAAAGATCAGCTGTAAAACAGATAAATGGAAGCCAGGGAGGTGGCTCAGCTGGTAAAGTACTTGCTGTACAACCTTGAGAACCTGAGTTTGATCCCAGCACCACATCTAAAGCTAGGCATTGTGGTCTGTAGTTGTAATAGCAGCACTTGTAGGGATTAGAGATGGGCAGGTCCCTAGGTCTCACTGGCCAGCCCTAGCCAAATCAACAAGCCCCAGGTCCCAGTGGGTGGTTACTAAGGCGTATCTGTTTCTTAGCAAAGCTACTAGTAACAATGATTAAATATAGAGCTATGCAAGTTTGTTAGTACTCCAAAGACTCTGTAAGATGCTGTCTATACACCTAAGGATGGCAGAAATTAAGATGTCTGCTAAACTAATTGTTGGAGAGAATGTGATGTCTTGGGACACTACCAAGGTTTGGGCACAGTGGGTAAATTGTTCTACCTGCTTTAGGAAACGGGTATTGTCTTGCATATTCTATGATCTAGGATTTTTATTTGGAAGAATTTTGGAGAAATTCTTTTAGCACTTTTCTACTAACATCTTGGGAAACAAACCGAATGTATGTGATTGCATGATTAAATGTATTGTGCCAATGACAGAGAATGGATGTTAGCTCTAAGTATCAACATTTATGTCACTAGACAAAAGCAAGATGGCAGGAAACTGCAAGCAGCACAGTGTAGATATGGATTGTTCTGTGATTTAACTTGTGAGCATGACATCATACACAAAAATCATGGCTCAGTGGCAAAGCAGAAGGCTCAGGCATTGTGAGCTGAGCCCTGCGGTTGAGGTTTCTATCATCACTGTATTTCATTGTGATGTTTGTAGCTTTTCCTCTTTAGAAAGCTGGTGCAACTTTTTGTTGTTATGTTGTTCAGACTGGTTTCAAACTCTTAGGCACATGATATCCTCCTGTCTTTGCTCCACATGTTGGACTATAGGCATGTAGGAGCAGAGGGAGAACTGACATAGCCTAACAGACCAGTTGCAGCATGGCCCTGCTGAAAAGAGAGCAAGTAGAAATGCATTTTTTTCTGTACGAACCCTGAAAGTTGAGAGTTGACAGGTTCTGGCAGGAGAAATGAAATGGGACTGGTGAGATTCTCAGTACCACACACTTCCTTC